GAGGGGGGTGAGAGGGAATGAGAGAATGAAGGAGCGGGGAAATGGGCGGATGAGGGGGATGAAGTAGTGAAGGAATGAAGGACTCAGGGAATGAGAGGGATGAAGGAATGAAGGGATGACAGAAATGGTGGTATGAAGGAGCGAGGGGGACGAGAGGGATTGAGGGAATGAAGGAGCGAGGGGATGAGAGGGATGAGGCAATGGCGAGATACAGGGAATGAAACGGATGAGGGCAATAAGGGATATGAGGGGAATGAGGGAGGTGAAGGAATGAGGGGTTGCAGGGGATGAAGGCTGGGGTGGTTGCAGGGTTGAGGGGGACAAGCAGGGTGTGAACCGGGAGGGTGAGGGTGGCAGAGATGAGGGGCAGTGGGGAATGAGGGATGAGGGGCTGAAGGGGAGCAGGGAATGAGGGGCTGAAGGGGAGAAGGGAATGAGGGGCTGAAGGAGAGCAGGGAATGAGGGATGGGGGGCTGAGAGCGGTGAGGGAGTGATGGGGCAGAGATGCCTGTGAAGGTCCTGAGGGGGATGAGGGATCCCGAGGGCTGCCCAGTGAGAGATGTGGGCCCCCAACCAGCCCTGGAGGAGCTCTCTGTGCATCCAGTGCTGCCATCAGACTCCTCCTGCCCTCCACAAGCTTCGCCCAGCCCAGGTTGTTCTTCCTTCAAGCGCTCAGCAATAACAGGCTTAGTCACCTTCCTCTCCCTGCTGTATAAATATGTAATGTTACTTTTTGAGGAGGAGGTGGTGTGGAGTTGACATGACCAGGGGGTCACCTGAGCACTGTCCCTCCTAGGCCACTTCCAGGAGGTGCCAGCGTGTATTCCAGTGTTCCATCCATTACCCAGTTTCTGTAATTGTCTGGAGGTCTGAGAATTTGGGAGGAGCATCTAAGCTGTTCTGCTATGCAAATGCTGGGGGAATTATTTTTAAATTAAAGAGTCCATTAGACCATATATTTTTCAGCGGTAAAGTCTTGTCTGGCACAGCTAAGCAGACCAAGGTAGTGCATGCAGAATGCACCACAACAAGATACACAGAAAATCTTTGTTTTACCTTTTTAGCTATAAACTGCCATTTAAAATAGTTCTAGGACTGTTGTGTTTATAGTAAACCAGAGCTACCCCACCAGTCTGGAGACCACATTATTCAGGGAGAGCTTCTGTATGCAAATGGTGTACTGTGATATTACATTTTCCCAACTATGCACTTCCTAATTTCCTTGTAATGTGCTAGGTGTGGAGAGCTCAGGAGGGCCAAAGCTTTATTATTTTTTTTAATTTTTTTTTCTGAAATATTCCTCAGGTAAAGCGTTTCTCTTTGTTCTTAAAATTCCTGTTAGCATTCAAGTCATTCAAATAAATACCAGAGTTCATGTGTAAAGATGATTTTCACCACTTGTGATCACTGAAATGTTTCTCCTAAGTTTTGAGTTTTCAACGCAAGGTATATACATAAGTAAGTGAAGTTTTACTTCTTTAAGTTATTCTGGAGAATTAATAATTGTGTTATGTGCTTTGAACAGATTAGGGTGCCTTCATAGATTATTTTTCTCACAGCATTTGTCATTTTTAAAATCAGCTGCATAGTTTGGGTAATGCCGTTATAGCTATGGGCTGTGATGCTATAGCCCTTATTTAATCATCAGAATTAATTATTTATATAATTCTTTACTGTTTCTTATAAATATTGGGTTTTTTAATAAAATTTGGTGAGTAAAACACTGTGTTTTCACTCACCCCTGAGTTCTGGGGGAGGATTTTTGCACTGTAGAGTGTTCTCTCTAGGCCTTTTTTGCTAACAGTAAATGCATGTGGTAATGAAAAAACGTCACGTAATGTGCATTTCCTCGGAAGCTACAGCTCCTGATTTCTAATTTTAGCTTTGTTACGGTCTCTCTGGATTATCTTAGGGAAGAATCGTTGGGTTTGAGACATGGCTCATGTAAAAAGTGGCTGATAGGGCCCTGATTTTGCATCAGAGTTGGCAAAGGAGTTGCCATGGCTGAAAGAATAAGGCTGAGAAGAGTGAAATTCTGTTCTTGCAGCTCCTGGTATCAGCTTGGTCATCTCCAGTCCCGTTGCCAGGGCAGTGCAGTGGATTGCAGTGTGTGCCTCCTTATCAAGGGAAATGCATCTGCTACGGCTCTGAACTTCCTGGACAAGACGTCCCAAATTGGGGGGTTCTCTCCTCTTTCTCCCTCCTTTTGCCTGACAAAAATGCCTCAGGTTCCCGTCTCATCTCTGCCTTGCAAAAGCATTAGTAGCCCTGTTCTTTGTGTCACTGCTTAGATGTTTATATACTTAAATGCATTAAAAGGTCATTAGACTATTTAATTTTCTTCTAAATATATTATCATGCATTTAGAACATACATATTTTTCACCTATTATCATTGATCATGATGATGATGATAAATGACCAAAATCATTGATACAAATACCATGTTTTTATTGAATATCAAAAAGAAAAAAATTCCAGAGTAAACTGTGATGGTCATAGGAACTTTGTTGATTGGGAATTTTAGAACTAAAGTAAAGATGGTGGAGAATAATCCTTTATCAGCCAGACTGAATGACCTCTGAAAGGTCTTTTTCATGTCTTCATCCTGCTCTTTTGTCCCAGGAAACACAGCTCCAGCCCTAGCCCCTTGATCAGTCGAGCAGTTCATGCAGCACTCTACTCTTCAAAGGAGAAAAGGTGACATTACAGCTCTCAGACTGACAGAATTAACACCATGTACATTTCATTCCATGAATCTTCCTCAGTGTGCTTCATCTCCTGACAAAGTAATTCCTCACAGTAATTCTAATGCTACATCTTACACTTTGTTCTTTGATTACTCTTAATTTCTGACACTGAGTGATGTTGCTAGGACAAAAAGAGATAATAATTTGTTATTGCCAGTGCCTGGCAGTACCCATGTTGCAAAGTTTTATAAAAAAAAGTATATTGCCAGGTGGGCCAAATCAGAAATAATGGTGTAGACAAACCAAAATGCTTCTGAGAATGTTCTGTGAGGCTGCTGGACAGCATGCTCAAACCATTTCACTTGTATTATAACTCAAGGTTTTTTTGTTTTCTGTACTAATATGTAACAGGAATTTTAAATAAGATAATTCTGCATTTTTCTGCTGTGTTTGTTCAGGAGACTTAGCAGTCAAAATTCTGTCCCCTGATAGAACTCGGTAAGTGAGCATCTGCTCTTTCAAAACTGTTAGCAAACCCTATATTCCAGTAATCACTGTAATACCACTCTTCTTTTGTGAGGTACAAAAGCAGTGTTATTTTTCCTTTTCCTGGCAGAAAAGGAGGAATGAAGTGGCCTGTTGAAGACTGTGGTAACTGCTGGGCTGGTGAATGGAGATGAATTTTGTCAACTTGTATTCTATGCCTTCAACAGTTTGAGCTCTTGGGCCCTGTGACTGTGCTGGAAGTTCAAAAGGAAATAAACACAGAGGTACACAAACAGCATTCATTTTTCATGAAGGTTTTTATTCCACTTCAGTGGCAAACGTTTCCAATCAGCGCTGAAGGAAGTACAGTCACAATGCAGCAGTTGTTGCCACCTTTTCTTTTTAGCAATCTTCCCTACCTTTTTCATTTTACATAAAAATGGAATAAATCTTTCAGAGCTTAAATTAATTTTTTTCATTTGGTTTTTTTTTTTCTCCTCCAATTACTGTTATTCATGTTTCTTTCTTGTTTACATTATTTTTTTTTTGTCCCCTATTAGCCCAATACATATTGAATTCAACTTGAGACAGGCTATCTAGGAAGTACTGACACCATTCATACAAAAGGTAGCAACATTTGGAGGTCTCAAAAGGGAAATTGAATTTGGGGGGAAGTTGCAGCTAATAAGAAGCATCTGCTTGATGCAGAAAGAATTTTTGAATTATTTTTTTGTAATTAGCTCACAAGTTCTTGGTCTGAACAACATTAAAATATCTGTGGACAGTGGAGCAAAGGCCATTATGACCCATGCCATGAAATTATAGTAAGAGAATAGACTTAGATAGATAGATATAGATATATATATATAAATGTAAATATATAGAATTCTAATAAATAAACAATTTAGTCTTTCTTGTTTTATTGAACCAGCAAACTACACTACCAATGCTAGTGTAATGTTCACTAAAAAGTCAGAAACAAGTTCAAAGTGCAGTGTGTGAAATATTTTTGTAGGTAGGTCAGGACTAGGATTAATTTTATGCAAATAACATAAATTAAGCCTTTGCTAAGCTCCAGAGTAAATTACTCTTCTGGTACAGGTCTAAATAATTCTTGTACCTAAGGAGACTGATCCAGATTGAGAGGGAAGTTCTTCACAAGTGAAAGGGTTTTTTAATTTTTATTTTATTTTTGTAATATAAAGTTGTTCAACAGAACAGAAACTATCCAGAAGCCAAGCAAGAAGAAACACAAATTAAAAAGTATTTCTGTATATATTTTTTTTCAGTATTTATGAATAGTATATGTTGTGTCCCAGCAGGTTGGACTTAACACATGTTCTTGATGTCACAGCACTGCATGCACACAACACCCTGCTCTCCAGGGATCTGTGGGATCTACATGTTTGACCCCAGGATTTCTGAGGATCGCCACAGGCATCGTTCCAAGAGTTAGATTTGGTTTCGTTTTTCTTTCTTCCCGATTTTTCCCCTTGCCTGTGATACCAAAGCGACAAGCCCTGGAGCTTAAGCTCACAGTCCAGCTGAGGCCTTTCCCAGTAAGGTTGTTACCCACAGAGTGTTATCACTCCCTGTTGTTTTAGTAACAGATAATTTCTCTTATTAAAGACCATGAAATACTCCTCTGGCTGCTCAGATCCGAGGAGGAAATGCCAGCTCCATACCCAGCAGTGGAGCAGCACAACTGCAGAGCGCTTTGGGCACGCTGGAGACACGCCAGAGCAGTGAAAATACCTCCTGATGGCAGCTGGGTGAAAACTGTGGGGCAGGGGGTAAAAAACAGTGGGTCTGGGGGGTCTGGGAGGGCTACAAGGGGGTTGGGAGAAGGTTTGGGGGTTTCTGGGGGGGCTATGGGGGAATTCTCAAGCTATAAGGGAGATCTGGGATATTAGAGAGATTTGGGGGAGCTGTTCGGAGGATAATCATGGGTTTGGGGAGGTCTGGGAGGCTGTGGAGTTTTTGGGGTAGCTGTAGGGGGTTTTCACGGGTTTTATGGGGGCCTAAGGGGGCTGGAGGAGCACAAGGGGGTCGGAAGTGCTCTGGGGTGATGTAGATTTAGGGCACTGTAGGATGTCTGGTGGGGGCTGTAGAGGGACTATGTGGGTTTTTGGGGAGGTCTGGGGAGGCTATAGGGGGTAATGGTGTTTATTATCATGGATTTG